CTATTCTAGATAATGCTCCATGTGCATTCAAGAAGAATGTGTATTTGCTACTTTAGGATGAAAGTAAGCAAGTCCATCTAGTCCAGTATGTTATTCAGAGACTTTGTTTCCTTGTTGCGTTTCTGCTTAGATGATCTATTGTTGTAAGTAGAGTATTAAATTCTCCTACAATAATAGTATTATTATCAATGAATTTGCTTATGTTGGTGGTTAATTGATTTATGTATTTGGGTGCTTACAAATTGGGGGTATAAGTATTTATAATTGTTAGCTCTTGATGGATAGACCCCCTTAAGTACGATACAATACCCTTCTTCATCTCTTGTTACAGTCTTTGTTTTAAAATCTGGTTTGTCTGATATAAGTATGGCTACTTTGGCTTTCTTTTGGCATCCATTACCATGATGGATGGTTCTCCATCCCTTCACTTTCAATCTATAGGTGTCCTCAGGTCTAAAATGAGTCTCTTGTAGATAGCATATAGATGGATCTTGTTTTTCTATCCATTCTGAAACCCTATGTCTTTTGATTGGGGCATTTAGTCCATTTGCATTCAGAGTGATTATTGAAAGATATGAATTTAGTGCCATTCTGTTATCTGTAGGTTTTGTGCTTGTGGTGATGTCTCTGATCCTTTGTAGTCTTTGTAGCATTCCACTCACAGAGTGGTCATGAACTCCTTTAGTTTTTGTTTCTCTGGGAAAGGCTTTATCTCTCCTTCTATTCTGAATGACAGCTTTGCTGGATAAAGATTCTTGGCTGCATATTTTTCCTATTCAGCACATTCACTATTTCCTGCCACTCGCTTCTGGCCTGCCAAGTTTCAGTGGAAGGGTCTGCTACTACCCTTATGTGTCTACCCTTAAAGGTTAAGGCCTGTTTGTTCCTAGCTGCTTTAAGAATTCTCTCTTTGTATTTTGCCAGTTTCACTATGAGATGTCATAGTGTTGACCTGTTTTTGCTGATTTTGAAGGGAGTTCTCTGTGCCTCTTGGACTCAGGTGTCTGTTTCCTTCCCCAGGTTAGGAAGTTCTCAGCTATTTGTTCAAATAAGCAAATTTGTTCTCAGCCAATTTGTTCAAATAAACCTTCTGCCTATTTTTCACGCTCTATTTTTAACGTTTGTTTATTTTTGAGAGACAGAGAGATAGACTGTGAGCAGGGGAGGGGCAGAAAGAGAGGAAGGCACAGAATCGGAAGCAGACTCCAGGCTCTGAGCTGTAGCACAGAGACCAATATGGGGCTTGAACCCACGAACCACAGGATCATGACCTGAGCTGAAGACGGATGTTCAACCAACAGTCACCCAGGCATCCCTGCGTTTGTAAAGTTCGGAAGAGCACGCATTGTTGCTGCTAGGCTCATCCTACTAGGTGGAGGGTATCCTGTCTCTAATG